TTTTAAAAATCTAAATTTTTTTAATTAATTCAATTTTAATTCTAATGTGATTTGTATAAATAACCGATTTTATTCTGTTACAATATTTTTTTGTTAGAATGATGTTCTTTTAGAGTTTTATTCTATTAGAATATTATTGAAGAATAACAACATTCTTGAATCCGAGGTTGAAGAATAACAACATTCTAATATATATTCTTATACATCCGAACTTAAATACAAATTCATACATATTCTTACAGATTAAAAGTCTTATACATTTTAATATAATTATACATATTCTAAAAGAATATCAACAAAAATGAATAAAAGTCTTAAAACTTATCAACATTCTAAAATTGTGAAAATGATCAAACATTATTCATTCTTCAAGTTATTCCTATTATGTCTTCAACGCAATGATAGCAACTAATGCAGCCCCATTCATCTTGTCAAACGGTTATTGAACAAATGCACTTAATCTTTTTCAATGGTCCAAAGAATCGACTTGATTCCAATTATTCTTACGAAAATGTGATATATTATCGTAAGAATGTAATTCTTCAACCCATTCTTCCAACCATTCCTATCAAATAAAACAAAAACTAAGAATGGTTAAAAGCATGTTACGTGTAATCCCCATCACTTAATATATTCTGGAAGAATACATAAAATATGATAGAATACATAGAATACATTCTGGCAGACTACATAGAATAAATTCTGACATAATACATAAAGTACATACAACTATTTTCTTATTCCGGTAACATACTAAGCAACACACATATTCAAAATCCACTGAAATTTGAAAGCAAAATCCACTTTGCCAAAACTCAATCAAACAATATTGAATCGTGTAGGAACAAGAAATGAAAAATCTATCTAATCTAATTTAATACTAACAGTAAAAGAGCAGTGAAACGGGATTGAAGAATCGAATGTAATTCCAAACTTAATCCAAATCAACTAGCATCAACCTATTGTTATGAAAAGAGCATCCAATCCAATCTAAATTAAGTTATATATTTCTGAAAAGAATAATGAACAAAACAAAGTTAAAAAAATTAAAGATTGTTAACTATTTTTTCATTGAGGCATTTTATCGAACACATGGAGGCCATGGCAGGATCATATTAAGCAAATCAGACAAGTACTGGAGATGAAATATCTAATCAAGACCACTACTCTGTAACAGAAAAAAAAAAAAGACAAAAAGAATTGCAAATCGTAAAAGATTATGTATATAACCCAATGAAAATCATGATAACAGTTTCATGTTTCTGTCATGTCATTGTCACAACCATGGATACAAATCAAAGTTGACGAAAACTATCTAATTAAATTGTTATTTCTCATGTTCGTCATTGATTCATTACAATCAGATTTGTTTTGAGATTTAAGTTGTAATTTGTGAAGGAAGAAACAAATGTTTTGACGTTCTTCATGGAGTAAAAAAACCCTAACATTCAAATAATTTGGAGATTACTATATTAGTGACAAACCTCATTGTTAGACTCGTCCTTGACTCGTTCAGCAGTTGATTCACTACAGCGAGATTCAGAATTATAGCGGGAAAATGACCTAATCTAGCCAAAGCTTCTGCCGCCTCGAAATGGAGAGGAATATGGTTTTGAGAAGGGATACGTGATTGCAGGTTTTGTAGTGTTTATTCCCTTATTTTAGGATATATTAATTGAATTATTCATTTACCATAATTAAATATACTAAGATAACCATGATACCCTTATTTATTTATTTAATTCTTTTATTATTTCCTGAATTTTCATTGGTGCATACATGCACACAATAGTTGTCAGGAACATTTGAACTTATCTCTCTCTCTCTCTTTCTATATATATATATATATATATATATATATATATATATATATAGAGAGAGAGAGAGAGAGAGCTAGGTTCAAATGTTTCTAGCAAATATTGTGTTCCTAAATGCATCAATCACAATTTAGCAAATAATTAAATAATTTATTAAATGAATAAGGGTATTTTCGGGTTTTTGACACATTCAATTAATGAGATCATTTAATTAAATCCTTTCAATTAAGGAAACAAAATAATTAAGTTTGATCTCTCTCTCTCTTTTATCTCAAGCAAGTCGGTTGTTTCACAAGCGGCATAACACGACTTCACCACCCGTGCAAGAACTAGACGACTCAACCATCGTCGCCGCCGTCCTTCTTCCCTTTGGCTACTGGGGCCACCATCGGCCAATGCACTTTGCTACATCGGGTACGGCCTAAGGTTTCTTCTGATCATTTAAGGTTTGAAATTATTATTTATGGAATTATTAGGTTATAGATATATGTTCCTTGATAGTCATTCTTATACACTAATTGATAGACGATTTTGAGTTTTGATTTGGATTTGTGTGCAATAAAATAACATTAATACGAAGGAGCACTTGTAAATTCCAATTCAATTTCTTTAGGTTGGATTTTTTTCCTTTAACGACGCTAATACTCAATTGATTTAAAAAGGATTTGTGTTGAATTTACAATTTATATTCCTTTGTGTATTAGCTTATGTCAAACCCAATATACATTGAATTACTTGGATTATAACTGACACGAAGGTATTATAAATTATACTCTAATTGTTATCGATTGATTTTATATAATTGATTGGTTTTTATATTATTCCAAAATCACACAATAGTGTGTATTCCTGATGTGGTTGATTTCATAACCGATTTGCATACTAACTATTTGTTAAAATGTCTCAGTGAATACAATCGATGTATTCTATCAAAATGTATTATATGTATTCTGTCATATTCTATGTATTCTACGAGAATATATTAAGTGATAGTTAATTGCAAGTAACATGTTTTTAACAATTATTAGTTTTTGTTGTATTTGTGATAGGAATGGCTGGAAGAAGGCATTGAAGACCTTGATATTCTTTTAGAATATGTATAATTATATTAAAATGTATAAAGATTTTAGTCTATAAGAATATGTATGAATTTGTATTTAAGTTCGGATGTATAAGAATATATTAGAATGTTTGTTATTTTTCAATATCTTATTCAAAAAATTTGTTATTCTTCAATAATATTCTATCATAATAAAATTCTGAAAGAGCATCATTCTAAAAAATAATATTCTATCAGAATAAAATTCTGAAAGAGCATCATTCTAACAAAAAAAATATTCTGACAGAATAAAATCAGTAAAAAATTGAAATTGAATTAATTAAAAAATTCAGATTTTTTTAAATTAAGAGAATTAATCATCCCTAAAAATCCGAAAATTTCCTATTATAAATGTAGTTAATTGTCCAAAATATCATTTTGCTTAAAATTGAGTGATTATATGCTAAATGTTACCCCATTATAATATCATACACTCTCAAATCATGTTCATTGATTAATTTCATACATTGGTCTCTGTGCATTCTGACACACAATACTTAGTAAAAACAAAATAACCTATATATATATATATATATATATATATATATATATATATATATATATATATATATATATATATATATATATATATAGAGAGAGAGAGAGAGAGAGAGAGATTAAAAAGGAAATATTTTGTAAGAAGGGTAAAATAGTGCAATCATTTGTATGAGTATTTGTATGATTTTTGGTGAATCAACAAAATGAATATTTAGATAATACGAAAGCAATATGATTTGAAAAAAAAATCCACAAGAAAACGCAGCGATGAGTTTATTTTTGCGATTATTCACCAAAGTTGTTTGAAAAATGAATCAAGACTTGATTCAGTAAAAAAAATTGAATCATTAATGTTTTTTCCAAGATGTGCGACTCCAATAATACACCCCAAAAAAGCTAGCCCAAAGATATGGCGGTTCATGTCATCTTAATTTGAATAAGAAATGTGGAATCCTAAACTAGCTATCTAGGAGACTCTACGAAAAAGGATGAGAACTCCAACATATATAAAAAAAAAATAGGATAAAAATATTAAAAGATAATAAAAAAGGATAGGACCTTATCGATCTAGAACTCCAACACTCCCCTTAAATGAAAGCTTAATGAGATTGACTGTATACATCGAGCCCTTAAAGTGCTAAACACCCACTATGACATCGTGTTGGTTAGAGTGAGATATTATATTTGGAGTGATGGTTTTGTTAAAAAAAGATTTGCCACTGTATGAGTGACTTTGGAAGCAAACATGAATTTGTGGAGAGGTATTGAGTTCCAAAAATAGTTTGATAATTGTTGATTGGATCAAATCTAATCGAGTTAACCACCTTGAATCTGATATAGTAAGAGTTATATAACAAGACAATTTAGATGCTTATGCTTCTAAGTGTGATATCAAATAGTCTGAAGCTTCTAAGTGTGATAAATCCAACCTTAAATGTGATATCAAATAGTTTATAAATGTGATATCAAATAGTTGAAATATGTAAATCCAACCTCTTATCGGACAAGTCAAATCCAATCCGACCCAATAAAAACATATCGAATAGTCCCTTAGCCAAACTTTACAAGGTTACGAACTAATCTTTAAACCTAAAATTGATGCCAATATTGTAGTCTAGACTCTAGAAGATAGGTTTTGGGTGGAGGCCACCAAAGAGAGCATCATGATATGTTTGCATGCCCTAAAAAAGGTCGGATGACCATATTTCCAAACTAGTAAATCCAAAAATTGTTAAAATTTCAATGAGCCTAACTGCCTAAACTCTTTTAATTATATAATAAGCAATCAAATCTGTCAACATTCGTGGTATTTAACCGACATGACATTTACACATTTTTCAGAATAATTAGTTTTCTATAAAAATTCTTTTTGTAAAATACGATGAAAATGATAAGAATAAGATTGTTGAAGATACGTTAAGGATATCTTGTGGTTGTAGCAAGTTCGACGCAAAATCCTCCTCAATAGTTTGTCAAATAAACGCATAAAAATTGAATAAAATTTCATCGGAGAAACATAATTCCTAATTTCATTTCCTAATAATGTTAGCTAGAAACCAAAATCTCCGGTAGCCATTGCCATAAAACTAACATTTATGCCTCACGGTAACTCCTAGTTCTCCGGCGACTATCAAAGTAGTCGCCATGTCAAGAAACATTCCATGTTCTACCACTCCGGCCAGTCTTAAAATTGCATCGCCGGCAGCCTTCAAATCCCCAATGTCTTTCTTGAAATACAAATCGATAATGAAATTCCCATTATCAGTCACAAATGGCTTACCATTTTCCGGCGAAGTCCGAAGCTTTGCAACACAACCAGCTTCTTCAAACAACGATTGAAGCTTCTGCGCTGTGAATTTCCAGCAAAAGGGAACGATTTCAACCGGCATGGCTAACCCACTTCCTCCGACATAGTCCACCAGTTTGGATTCATCGACAATCACGACGAATTTCTTGCAACAGCCTTCGATCATTTTCTCACGAAGCAACGATCCGCCTCGGCCTTTGACCAAATTCATATCTGGGTCAACCTCATCTGCTCCATCAATGGCCAAATCGAGAACAGGGTGGTTATCAAGGTCCGACAGAGGTATGCCCAGAGACAAGGCTTGCTCATGAGTCATCGTCGAAGTGGGTATTCCGACGATGTTGCTTAGTTTCCCTTGCTGGAGAAGCTCTCCGATACGGTCAATAGCGTGTTTGGCGGTGGAGCCAGTTCCGAGGCCGAGAACCATGCCGGATTCGACAAACTCGACGGCCTTGTAGGCGGCGATTTTTTTGAGTTCGTCTTGGGTTAAGATGCGTTGGTGGGGTGAAGGGGACGGCGACGACATTAGTGCGGCGGAGTTGGCTTTCTTTGATCCGAGATAAGCCATAGCCATCTTTAAGGGAGTTTTGGGGTAATGCGTTGGAGCAATTGAGACCGAAGAATGGAAAGGAAGATAAGAACGAAATTTTTTAGGGTTTTGATAATCTTTGAAGATCTGAAATGGGAAGATGAGATTTGGAGAGAGAAACGTGTGGAGGTCGAGCAAATTTGGGGGAAACCGAGTGGGGTATTTATTAGGAGAAGCAGGGAAAGTTCAGTGAAAGGTCCGATTTGGAGAATCGGGTCAACTCGATTCGGTTTAATTTGGATAAGTGTCCTCCCAAGTTCCTAGTCCCAAATCGGTAATCTATAAACCCATTTTAATTCTTATATTTAAAAGGGATAATATCATAAAAAAAAACCTTAAGTTTGGCAGAAAATGTCGGTTTTACCCTTCGATAGATTTTTGATTTATTTATACCGCAAACTTGTCATTTTTTTGTCGGTTTTGCCCTTGTTACCTGCAATAGTAGGTTTCCAGGTTATTATGAATTATTTTTTGCGAAAAAACCCTTAAGTTACACGAGAGAAAAAGTTGGAATTTAATATGTATTTGGATTTTGGGTTGCCGCGTTTTAGGTTTCCTCCCTGTTTTCGCGTAGGATTATATTTCGTTCCAAAAAAACATATTTACATTAACACCACTCTAAAATCTTGGATGAAAATCGGTTGGAAACGTCAATATCAGAGTGTTGTAAACGAAGAAAGAAAGAGTCCAAAGAATTTGGAGTAACATCTGAAAAGAGATGGCGGTGGCGATTTCGGTTTGGGCAACAAAGACTGCGGAAACATAGATGGACGAAAGAGACGATGTACAAAGTTATGTGGTGGAAATCTGAAACGTTGAAGTTTACTGTTCATTAACGTGTTGACTTTTAATATATGTATATAATTATGCTAAAATAGTTATTATGAATAATATGGTATCATGTACATTCAATTAATTTTTTTAAAAGGTAAATAAAAATATTTTATATGTTTAAAAGGTTTGTATTTCAGAAATACTAACATATCGTATTTTTTATATGTTTAAATACATAATAATATTATCATATTTTTTTATAAAAATATCATAAACATGTTAAACATCAAAAATAAATATAAACATTTTAAACATATAAAATATAAATATATTTGTCTAATTTATTATATAAATATATTTATTTTTATATAAAATATGATAGTTTATTATTTCTGAAATTCAAACCTTTTAAACATATAAAACATTTTTATTTTTCTTTTAAAAAAAAATTAATTGAATGGCACTAATGTCATATTGTTACTTTGAAAAGTTTAAGCATTAATTAATAAATATTTAAATTTTGATAAAACTAGGTAACTTTTTTAAAATTTAAATATAAAAACTTTATATCAAACAAATATAAAATATACCATACATAAAGCTAAAAATATGTTTCAGTAGAAAAATATTTAGTTTTATAAAATTTTGAATATATATTTATATTTTATATGTTTATAATCTTAAGGGTTTTTTTTCAAAATATTTGTAAACTTATGGGTTTTTTCACAAAAAATAATTCATAATAACCTGGAAACCTGCTATTGCAGGTAACAAGGGCAAAACCGACAAAAAAATGACAAGTTTGCGGTATAAATGAACCAAAAATCTGCCGAAGGGTAAAACCGACATTTTCTGCCAAACTTAAGGTTTTTTATGATATTATCTCTATTTAAAAATATTTTAGTATATATTTCTTTTTAATTCTATCTTACTTTTTATATTATTTTAATGAAAAATAATAATTATTCTATATAATAAAAAATGACTGTAAACTTTTTGACTGTCCTATTAGATGGAAGGTCCACCCTCAGTCCGGTTGACATTTTGGTATTTTATTAGAATATTATAGTGTTATATCTTTTATATTTATCTTTATTAGTGTTTATGTATATCTACACTTAGACCTGACAATTCTAGACACGAACACACGAATTTGTGAGAGACGCGACACGAATACATCTTGAAAATTAAGATAAAGCTTATTTCTCATCGTGTAATCGTATCGTGTTAAATTCATGGCTAACACATTTTCATGATACGAATACACGAATTGTCAGGTCTATCTACACTTTCCTTATACAACTCTAGCCGATGTGTGTGTGTGTGTGTGTATATATATATATATATATATACTCCTAGAGAGATATGAAAAAATCAAAGAATTATTAAACACTTTCTCCCTCCTAATATTAACAACCTACATAGGGCGCATATCCACCTTGGGCTTAAACCCCAAGCAAATTGGATGGCACCATCATGTCCTCATCCTACCAATACATGGACTAGGCCTAACAACCCCAACTCATCCCCAAGCATCCTTGGCCCACGTCCAGAGCAGAAATTTTCAGCAAATGTGTACAACCCAACACCTACTGATCTTGCTCAAGCCATGCAAACAATGACATTTAACCCACCATATTCAAATTAGTACATGGATACCGACACTTTATCACACATGACTGGAACCCAATGTAAGTTCAGACTGATCGGTGTTTTTATCTTCTAGACTACGATGCGAGTTTTCTCACTATACTTTGTATTGTAGTATGTGTCATTGTTTGTAGGATATTAGTATAATATAGTGATCTACTATATTGGTAGATCTGTATGATTACTTGTATTTGTTGGTTATTGACTATTATTTGAATATGTTGACATAGTGTGGTTGGGTTGAGGCGGTACTGCTTTGTATTGTAAGCCAACAAACCTGGGAGCAATCTAGTCATAAGTTGAGGGTCCAGGAGGGGGGCAATCCAGTCTTATGTTGTGGGCTCGGGAGCAAGCCAATCATGAGCTGAGGGCTCGGAAGGGGGCAATCCAATCTTATGTCGTGGGTTTGAGGGCAATTCAGTCTTATGATGTGGGTCCAGTATGCATACATTGTACATATATTATTGTGTGGGGTATTTTGAGGGAACTTACTAAGTTTTTGCTTACAAATGTTGATTACAATGTTTTCAAGTACATCAGATAATCAGGGAAAGGCGAAGGTGTGATCGTACACATCCTCCTACTGACTTATGCATTGAGAGAATATTATGATACACTGGTTTTTATGGATTTGAATTTGGAAATAATGTTTGACAACCTTATGTTTTATGAAAATGTCTTTTAAAAAAATTATCATGGATGTGGGATGTTACAATTTGGTATCATAGCGTTGGTTTGAGAGAATTGGATGAACATTTTTGTGATTCCATATTTAAACTATGGATCTGCAAAACTATTTTCATAATTAAATTTTAAAATGATCAACAAAGAGGATGCTATGTGTACAATCAGCCAGAGCCCAAGGAAAGTTATTCCCCAAGATACCCACAGTTGTTTTATGTGAATTATTGATGTGTTAAAAATGCATGCCAGCTTATAGGCTACGAATCTTCAGAAATTGCATGATAGAATTGCCTGATTTATGATGCATGATAGCCTAGGGGGATTTCTTGATATGTTATATGGAACTAACATTATTATTGTGGTTTTTTAGTGTGCGTATCATAGTTGTACATAACTAAGATTTTGTAGTATAAGAATGTTTGATGTGGCCTTATTTCCTGTTCCCTTTTCTGGTTATGGGCTTCGGGTAGAATCAATTATTCGATTGTCTATCGAATCTAATGGTATATATGATTAGCATACACAAAGCAGCTGTAGGGTTAGTAGAAGTTTCATGAGTAGGTGTGGTTGTTAGAAATCAGTGTAATGTATGGTTATCTACTATAGAGAGAGTGGGTATAGGATGTATACACATCCTAGTTGTTTCAAAATGTTGTTTGACAATCTTATGTTTTATGAAAATGTATTTTTTTTTTTAAATTATCATGTTTTGGGATGTTATACCCTGGAGCAAACATTTTAGATTCTCTTAGATTTCAACAATTTGTTTCTTGTAACAGTAGTAAAACCAAATCACATTGTTTGTATTGTGTTTATGGAAAACATATCAAGTCTACATTTTATGACTTTAAATCTTTTACTTTATCTGCTTTTGACATCATACATAATGATTTATGGACTTCTCCAGTTATGAGTTCCGCGGGATATCATTATTATGTCTTATTTCTTGATGACTACACAAATTTTCTTTGGACCTTCCCTATCATTCACAAATCTCAAGTCTTACTAATTTTTAAAATCCTTCACACATTCATTTAATCAACTAAAATCTAAAACTTTCAATGTGATAATGGTAGAGAATACAACAACTCCTATTTCCATAAATTTTGTACTCAACATGGCTTGCATTTCATTTTTCTTTCCCACATTCATCTTGGAAAATTGGAAAATTCGAAAGAAAAATATGTGTCGTTAACAACATCATTTGTACTATTCTTGCTCATTCTCATGTACCTCCCTCATTTTGGCACCATGCCCTTCAAGTGGCAACCTACTTACTTAATATTTTACCCTCTAAACTCTTAAATTATCAATCCCCAACTCAACTTCTTTCTAATCGCACACCATCTTATGCACATTTAATAGTGTTTGGATGCTTATGTTATCCTCTAATTCCCGCCAACATCATCAACAAAATCCAACCTCGTTCTACGCCATGTATTTTCCTTTGTTACCTACCTAATCATCGCGGCTACAAATGCTACGATCTCAACCAACAAAAAATAATTATTTGTCAAAAATTTGTATTTGATGATAGAATATTTCCATTTGCTACGAAATTCCAATCTCCACCCGATACATATAAGTTCCTTCATGAAAACATATTTCCTTTCCACTTACACCAACCCGAAATATCAACCAACCCTTCACCACAACCCATTTCTGATCTAACCCAACCTGCTGCTGCATTGGCCCAGCAGCCCAATGTTGACCCATCTAGCCAGCAACCACCTTAACTGACCGCTTCCTTGCCTCAATCCACTATTGGGTCTTCATCTCCACTTTCCTCTACCTGTTACAACTCCAAACCGAGACAACGGAAACGTTCGGGGGCAGAGGATGTCATATACAGTATCACAACAATTGAATAATAGCAA